CGGCGCCAGGGTGTTGAGACCGCCTCAGATTACTCCGTGGGGCTGTTTTGACCAGCTGGGTCGAGCTGGGGCCGGGGGGGGCCTGCCTGCGCACAAAACCCGAAGCCTTACCAGCAAGGCGAGGGATTAGCCGTCGCAAGCTGAGCCCATCCGCGACCATCCTCCAGACGGCAGCAAAGCGGCTCTGCCTCGAGCCAGCAGGCGGCCGAGACATGCGAAGTACGAGCGACTGGCAGGAGGAGGAAGACAATGAGGAGGAGGAGGAGCAGGAGGAGGATGAGGAGCGAGGAAAGCGTTATTGAGAAGGCCTTACGGCCTGCGCCGCCGACCCTAAACACGACGACGACGTCGACGACGAGGATCAGGATGAGGATGAAGACGAGGATGAGGATGAGGAGGCGGATGATGATGATGACGATGATGCTGAATATGATGATGATGGTGATGATGATGATGATGATGATGATGATGATGCTGATGGTGATGATGATGATGATGGTGATGATGATCATGTTGCTGCTGATGATGATCATGTTGATGATAGTGATGATGCTGCTGATGATGATGCTGATGATGATGGTGATGGTGATGGTAATGGTGATGATGGTGTTGATGATGATGATGATGCTGATGCTGATGACGATGCTGGTGATGATGATGTTGATGATGATGATGATGACACTGATGATGATGCTGATGATGGTGATGATGATGATGATACTGATGATGATGCTGATGATGATAATGATGATGATGATGACATGAGATGAGATGAGATGATGATGACGATGACGATGACGATGACGATGACGATGATGATGATGATGATGATGATGATGATGATGATGATGATGATGATGATGATGATGATGATGATGATGATGATGATGATGATGATGATGATGATGATGATGATGATGATGGAGGAGGAGGAGGAGGAGGAGGAGGAGGAGGAGGAGGAGGAGGAGGAGGAGGAGAGGGGCAGTAGGATGAGGTAACAAAAGGAGAAGGAGCAGGAGGATGACGAGCAGGAGGATCCACATGAGGAGGAGGAGGAGGAGGAGGAGGAGGAGGACGCCGAGGAGAAGGAGGAGTTGAAGGAGGAGGAGAAGGAGGAGGAGGAGGAGGAGGAGGTGAAGGACGACGACGACGACGACCACGACGACGACGACGACGACGATGTCGACGGCCTTTGGAGCGCTCCGTGGACTGCTGTGTGTAGTTGTGGAGCCGCTTGGGAGACTTTTGGGAGGCTCTCGGTGGCCTCGCGTCTTGCGGCGTGAGGAATCTGGAAAGGCGAGACGCTGGAAGCCTTGAAGAGGCTGAACAAAGAGATGATGCGGCGACGACGTTGACGACGACGATGTGGATGTTGGTCAGAGTCCAGAGGGATGCATCCCGGGGCTCTTCAGAGCGCGCTCGGAGGCCTCTGGGGGGTAGGTTGGGGGCGACGACGACGAAGACGATGACGACGACGACGACGACGACGCTGACGACGACGACGACGACGGCGACGACGACGACGACGACGACGACGATGTGGATGTGTGTCAGAGCTCTCAGGGATGATTCACGGGGTCTTTTCGGAGCGCTCTCGGCGGCCTCTGGGGGGTAGGTTAGAGACCTCTTAGGACACTCGAGTGGCCTTTTCGGAGGCTCTTGGGAGCCTTTGGGGGCTTTCCGAGCCTTGGACGCCTAAGGCTCGTCGGATATTCGGTCTGGGCATTCTCCTGGAACCGTCTTGGAGGCATCTGGTGCCGTCTTGAAGGTCTCTAGGGCGGTCTTGGGGCTCTCTGGGGTCGTTGTAGGGGTTTCTTGGAGACCTGTTGGGCTATCTTGAGGCGCTATGGAACCCCTCTGTGGCGATTTGGCGCGTGGGGAAGCCGAGAAGGCCAGAAGGCAAAAACGATCAACAACCTACGGATAATCAGCAATTTTGTCCTCTCCAGGCTCTCTGGAGAGCGCTCTGGGAGGTCTGGTCGGGCGTCTTGGAAACGTCTTGGGTCGTGTGGAGGCTGCTTGGGCGTCTTGGACCGATCGTTTTCGAATTCGGGGCGCTCTTGAACTTAATCGGGAGGCCTGTAGGGCGCTCTGGCCGCGTCTTGGGGCTTTCGTAGGCCCCGGGACCGCCCGGGGGGGATGCGTATCTGGGTGGTGACCGCCCCCTGGGACCCACCCCCCAGGACCCCCCCACCCCCGGCGGGGAATGGATCAAAGGGAAGGGGCTTCCCTTCGACTCAGCTACGACGTTGTTCAATTTCGCGTTGGCTGGCGCGCGTAAGGAGGAAAGCCCAATGAAAAGAGACGGGAGACGACGGAGACGACGATTGACGGAGACAAGGAGGAGACGACGAAGACGGAGACGACGAAGACGACGAGGAGGAACCCCTCACACACGCCGACAGGGTCGGCGGATTGTAATCCCTGGCGATCACGGGCGTGACCAGGGGGGAGGGCGGGATGGGGCCTGTCACGTCACGATTCGAGCCGTCGCCGCCTA